TCTCAACAATACATCTATTTAACAATCGCAACTTCCAAACGACCCCTAAGGGTTCGTTTGGATTGTTTTGTTGAGATTGTCATTATGAATGTATTGTTTATAATGCATCGTTTTTTTGTTTTTTTTAGCATAAATAATACAGAGATTGATTCTGTGATGTGACAGAAACTAACACTCATTTTGAGTGATTGTTATATCTCAACTTTTAGTTGTGATTGTTAAGATAGTTGAGTTGAGATTGTTTTGTCTCAGCTTTTAGCTGATACGACATACACAATCACACATACCAAACGTTGTATTCTACAATGCATCAAATTCGACAATACATGTATAATATTATACATGCATTCTCAACAATACATCATATTTAACAATCGCAACTTCCAAACGACCCCTAAAGTTTTGTTTCCTTCATTGAGGGATGTTGATAAGATCATTGAGAATATTAATTAAAGTTTTGTTTACAATGTGCAAAAATCTGAATTTAGGAAACGATCGAGAAGGAGAATAACAAGAAGAATACGATATAAAGTGAGGGGTTGTTTGGAGGTTTTTTTTTTAAGATTTCATGTATTGATCCAAAAAATAGACAGTTACACCCTGGAAACCAGCCAGGCCTGGAAATCAAAGAAGCGACTTATAGTCGGATACAAAGAGAGGGCTTTCCTAGCTACCAAATTGGCTACCCTATTGTTCTCCCGACCTACAAAACGCACACTAAAGCTAGGCTGTGTACGAAAATAATGACCAATCTCCTCCAGAAAGCACCCAACCGGCTATCACTTGTATCGGCTTGATTAATTTTTTCAATAATCACCTTTGCATCGCCCTCAAACCGGACCTCCGACAAGCCTTGCTCCACACACCAAATAATAGCTTCCCTGAGCACAAGCAATTCCACCACTGCAGGCTCATCCATTTGAGGAAACTGAATCCCTCTAGCCAGAAGGAGAGTCCGAGTTGGGTCTAACAGAACCATCCGACCAGCCGAATGCGACCTACCCTTAATAGCCCCGTCCCACATGCAAACCAAATGGGAATCACCCACTTGCACAGTAGGTTGCATCATCGGGATCGGCACCCTAGGAGGCTGATCCGCTGGCAGGCCCACCCATTCCTCATACTGTTGGTAAAATTGCCTCATGAGCGCCGGGATCCCAAATTGTTTGCCTTCAAAGACTACCCAATTACGAGATCGCCAGATCCTCCATAGGATGGCAACAACACCCATAACCAAAGACAGTTGATGAATCAGCGCCAACAGACGTTTGAGAAACAAAGGAAAAGTGTGCCGAGGCAAACCCTACCCCAAGTAATCCAGCCCTGAATAGTCCCAGAGAGCCCGCGCAACCGGACAATAAATGAACATGTGTTCCATCGTATCCGGCCCATCCCAACAAACTGGACACCGAGGTAGCATAGGGACCTTTTCCTCAATAAGCGCCCCCGTGGTCGAAAGAACCCGATTAAGAATTTGCCAAACAAAGACCTTCAACTTCGGAGGGATCTTCGCCTCCCACACTCTAATCCAACTCGACTTATCCATCCAACTAACCGAGGATCGCCATCCACCCCTCCTCCTGTCCAAATCGACAGCCAAATGGTAAGCCGACTTCACCGAGAAAACCCCGTCAGCCGTGTAATGCCAGATAAGCTTGTCAGGCACATCCCATCTCGGAAGAGGAATAGCTTTAATAGGCCTACAGGTGTGCGGGTCAAACCATTGACTGAGCTTCTCATCAGACCACCTCCCTCCCCCCTCGCAGATAACCTCCGCCACCAAGGGATCCCCCCCCCCCCTCAGGCAAGATCCGCGGATTATAGCAAGGTGGATCAAGTTGGTACCCAGGAATGCAGTTAGAATGAAGTAGAGAGGTCGATTGACCCTTACCGACCTGTCATCTTAAACCCCTCTCCAACAACTGACGTCCATGAAGGATACTCTGCCACCCCAAGAGGGATGAGACCTAGTAGTCACAGTCAGGAAAGACCCTTGAGGGAAATACTTGCCTTTATAAACCTGGGCAATGAGAGATTGAGGTTCAATGAGAATACGCCATCATATCTTAGCCAAAAGAGCTTGGTTGAAATGTTCAAACTGGCGAAATCTCATCCCCCCATAATGCTTACTCCTGCACATGTTTCGCCAGGACACCCATCTAATCTTAGGACTACCCTCCTCAGCTCCCCACCAAAAGCGGGCCACATGTCTATCTAATAGACGACAAAGAGCTAGGGGAAGTCGGAAACAAGACATAACATGAAGGGGAAGAGCCAACGCTATGGATTTAATCAAAGTTTCCTTCGCAGCCCATGACAATGTCTGTTGCTTCCACCCCTGAAGACGCTCTAGGAGTTTCTCCTCCAAATATCTGAACGTAGCCATTTTGGATCGAGCAACCAGCTTGGGAAGCCCTAGATATTTATCATGGACCCCCACTGCACCAACCCCTAGGATCGTGGCCAAGAACTCCTGATCCGGCGTGGAAATATTCTAGCTAAAGCACACCGCCGATTTCTCTAAGTTCACGCGTTGGCCACTCATCTCCTCATATTCATTCAGGACCTCAATTAAATTCTCGCACTCCTGAAGAGAACCTCGCAAGAATAAGTAAGAATCATCTGCAAAGAACAGGTGAGAGACTCTTGGAGCACGAGGAGCCACTTTCACCCTCTCTAGTTTTTTCACCGAGATTGCCTTTCGGAGGAGGTCTGCAAACCCCTCCGTGCAGAGCACAAACAAGAGAGGGGAGAGCGGATCCCCCTGGAGAAGGCCCCTAGAGGCAGTGAAACAACCCGAGGGTGTACCATTCATCAAAACCGAGAAAGATGAGGATCGAAGACATTCATGTATCCATCCTTGCCAGACGGAGCTAAAACCCATCTTATCCAAAACTGCAAGAAGAAAGGGTCATTCGACTCTATCATAGGCCTTTTCCATGTCAACCTTCAGAGCCATGTACCCCTTCTTCCCTTGCTTTTTTATTTTTAGATAATGCATTAGCTCATGTCCTATAAGGATGTTATCAATAATCTGTCGGTCTTTGATAAAACCATTCTGGCCCTCTGAAACGATCCGAGGTAGCATGCTAGCCAGCAGTTCAGCCATGATTTTGGTTATCACCTTGTAAACAAACTGACAGAGGCTAATCGGACGCAATTGTCTAATTGTTTCCACTGAGTCCACTTTAGGGATCAAAGTGAGCCAGGTATGATTAAAACTCCGCAGCATCCGACTCGAGGCAAAGAAGGAAAATATTGCTTCAACCACCAAATCGCCCACAATATCCCAGAAAGCTTTAAAGAATTTGCCTGTGAAACCATCCGATCCCGGGGCCTGCTTCGATCCCATGGCAAAGACCGTGCTCCGAACCTCACTAGGCAAGACCTCTGCCGTCAATTGCGAATTCATTTGCGGGATAACACTATGGGCAATCGGCAGATTCGCCACCCTTTCAGCCATATTAGGAACCTGAGTTTCCGAGGTAAACAAGGTCTGGTAGAAATTGGTGGCAATAGTAGCCTTCCCAGTTTCCTCAGTGACCTATTCACCCTCCTCATTTCGAATCCCGGAAACAAAGTTCCTTTTCCGTCGAGCCCTTATGACCGTATGGAAGTAGGAAGAATTTTGATCTCCTTTTTTTAACCATTTGACCCTGGATTTTTGCTGCCAATACACCTCCTCCGCTTCCCACTGGTGGGATAGCTCCATTTCCAGGGTCCTGATCTCATCCCAATCCACCGGACGGATCGCCTTTATCCTATCAATCTCAGCTTGGAGCGTCTTGATATTACGCAGGGAATTTGTAGTGCCCGCCCTGCTCCAATCATGGAGTAGGTGACGAAGATTCTTTAGGCGCTCCCACAGTCGAAACATAGGGGTACCTTGGATCTCTTCCTGCCAGACATACTGGACCATCGCCCTCACTTCGGGATTATCCGCCCAGTGGGCATCAAAACGAAATAGAGGCCGACTATTCCGAGCATACGGTTTATCTGCGAGCAGCAGGGCCCGATGATCCGACCCCTGGTCCGTAAAGTGCTTGACCAGCGTCTCCGGATAGGTATCAATCCAGAACTGGGATTAAAGAGCCCTATCTAGACGTTCCCGGATACACGCTGCACCCATACGTTTGTTTGTCCAAGTGAATTGATCCCTTTGGAAACCCGGGTCATGGAGGCCCAAATCATGAACAAAATCTCGGAGACTGGTGGCTTGGGCACCATTCCAAGCCTGCCCCCCATCTTTTTCACCCGCGTGAAGAATAGTGTTGAAATCACCTATGATTACATAAGGGTGAGTAATATTCGCACAAACCTCTTGCAGCTGAGCCAACTAAGTAGCTCTAAGCGCAACATTACAGCTAAAATAAATAAAGATCACCACATAAGAAAGATCTCCTTCAATAATTTGCGAACAAATACAAAATTGGAATGGAAAAACACCGAAGCGTCAACCCCGGGGGATCAAGGAACTACTAAACCACCTGATGCATCGACTGCATCTACAAATAAACAATGCGAAAAAGCAAAACCTAACCCCCGCATACATCGGGACACTACACGCCAGCTCGATCGAGTTTCCGAAAAAAACACGAGATCCGGTTTATTGGAATGAACAAGCCCTAAAGCAGTTTGGAAAGTGAGGGATGGTCCAATTCTTCTCACATTCCATGCCAGAAGCCTCATTTATCGGCCGGGGGCCATTCAAGGCTGGCTTCCTCCACCTTTTCCAAACCATCAGCAGTTTCCACAAATTGTTTCTTCGGAGTGAGGGGGTCACCTACATCCCCTTCCAACGCATCAATCCCCCGCTTCTGATTCTCCTGGATTGGGCCGATCAGATTCGACCCGTATTCATCCAGGTTCAAACTCGGCCCCTTGGGAGGAGCACCCTCCTTCTGCTCGAAGACAAGCCCAACCTCGAACGCTTCCACTACTTGGTGGACATGCCCTTTCATGATTTGACAAGCCTTCGTAGAGGCCCCACCTGGTGAACGTCATTTGATCTCAAATGGATTATGATCTCCAGGTGAGTGGTCCCCATCAGAGTCAGAATCCTTCTGGTGATTCTCATAAACAAGATCATCCAGAGGAACAACAACCTCTTCCTCCTCCAGCTCATGCATAGCACTAGATGAGTCAGAGCCCACATCCTGCTTGGCCATAGTCAGCAGGCCGTTAGCACCAGCTTTCCTTAGACATGGGCGAACCCGTGGTAGCGCGACCCCTGGTTGGGTCCCAGTCTTGGAAGATAGGCGTGGATCCTTCAGCGGAGTAAGACCAGTATCCTTCGTACCCGCCAGCTCCTCCTCTTCCGATTCCTCATGCAAGATCAGCCTACGCCTCCGGGACTGCTCAAGAACCTCCACCATATCATCCTCCTTCTGCCGGCGTTGGGGAGCCTGTCTGGCACGCCTATCTGGCTGTTGGCGACCCTTGGTGCCCTGTCGAGGAAGGGAGGCAGTCTTTTTAGGTGACCGCTTTTTCTGGAGCTGCCTCACACCACCACCAATCTTAACCCGAGGAGACGTCTTGAAGACAAACCGCTTAGGACTAGCACGATTCCTAGCCAGCTTGATATGTGGTTCATGCAGCCGAGGCTGTGTCTCCTTGGTAGCTTGAGCTGTCAGCTCACCAGACAGAGAGTGAGACAATCCTTGAGCCTGAGAGTGGTCAGTAGGCCCTGAAGGAGCCTCTTGCACTCGACCCCGAGAAGTCTTCGCACTCCCTCTATTATACACTTGCACATTCCTGTTCACCCACACAGATTTACTTGTATTCCGATAGGTCAGGTAGTCTTCCTCTTCCATGTATAACTTCCTCCCTAGCTTCCTTGTTGGCATGTGGGGGCCGAATCGTTCTTTGCCCAGAGGTGGGTCGAAAACACAGTCTTTGGAGGTTGAGATTCTACAAATTGAAGTATTTAATCAATTTGTGTATAGTAATTTGATGTATTGATGAAATGTATGAATTTGAAAAATACTTTGTTTAGAGATTTAGATTGTGCTTTATTATAAATAAAAAAGTAGTGGGTAGACAATCACTTAGTCGCAATCTCACCTTTTGGTAGAGATTGATAATCGCTCATTTTGAGTGATTGTAGGTGGGCCCAAAAAAAGGTAATACATGTATTCTGTCACAAATATAACGAGATAAACGATTTAATCTTGACATTACATGCATTGGCAAAATATATCGCTTGAAATTCCAACCTCCAAACGACCCCTAAGGGTTGGAGTACAAATTAGGGATCGAAGCCAAAATTATACCGTATGGATCATATCACTTCTATGTGGTGTGGTCTCGTACGATCCGAATGAGGCATATCATATTGAGTAAAGAATGAATAATCTATTTGGTTGCCAAACCAATCGTAGTAGAACCAATACCAAGAAGAAGAAAGAACTAAGTCTTGTTTTGAACGTAAATTTCCAACATGCATGCATAATTTTGATTCTCTAGATCCAAGCAAATAACAAAGATGCAAAGTCAATGCGATCTAACTTCTATCTTGATATCACAATCATTAACATAATGTCATATGGAGGAGTGTGGTCAGTGGAGGAAGGAGGAGAAGAAATTCGTGAATTTTGGTTTGGGAGTTAGGGGTTTTATTGAGACTGGGGTGAGCTGCTAACCCGGGTTTGAAAAGTGGGCTGACTAGTCCATGGTCAGGTTAGCAAACGTCGTATAAAACTAGACTATATCATACCCAAACTAAACCATCTCTAACCGTCTATGATTTTCACCAAACTGTACGATTATGTCTATCTCCTTGGTATGATGTCCTTGGGTATAGACATCGTACATAGGGGTGGGCAAACGGTTCGGTAAACCCGAACCGAACCAAACCAAATTAAACCGAACCGAAAACCGAAGTAATGCTATTCGGTTCGGAATTCGGAAGGAAAATATGGATAGTTCAGAAATCAGTGCTCTTTCAACCGAACCGAATTTCAGAATTTCCGACCGAAAAACCAAAATACTATAATTGCAAACTCCAAATGATGGATTTGTATGTTTGTAGTTGTTTTTAGACTTAAATATTTGAAATGTTTTAAGACTTATGTGTTGAAAAGTTTGGTTTTATTATTGATGATGCATATAATTGATATTTATTGTTTATATTAGGGATGAAAAATAATTTAAAAGTGAGAAAATACAAGTAGCTTCACAAATTCGGTTTTGTGTAAAAAACCGAACCGAACGGAATTATAATTCGGTTTAATTCGAATTCCGTTTGAGGTTTGGGAGAATTCGGGGACCCGATATTCATAATTTCGGTTCGGTCGGAACCGAACTGACCAAATGCCCACTCTAATAGTACTTGCCACATGGTACTCATCCATTGGCGGATCCAGGGGGTGGCCAACCCAGGCCCCGGCCCAGCCCTCCTCTGGATTCAAAGTTAGTATAGTCCTTATGAATATTTCGATTTTAGACATTCGGTTCAATGTTATTTTATAATAAGATTGTGTATAACTAGAAAAATAATTCGTATGAACATATTCAAATAACTACTCTAAATTTAGCTTATAAATTCTAGCCCCAAATATTTTCGTCAAAACAAAAACAACGGAACCTAAAATTCTAAAAGTCTAAAGCGTAAAAGACTAATAAAAGAAATATGAGATTTATTTTATTGAAAATTTACTAGAGCAGCTGTTGGATATAGGGATGGACACACAATGAAAATTGATTAGTCTATTGATTTTAGTGTTGACGCTGTCCGTTTCCACAGCTACTACGGCGAGAACCTTATCAACAATGAAACATGTGAAAACTGATTAGCTACTACGGCGATGAATTACTCGCCGGTTGCTCAAGTATTTTATTTGAAACAGAGCATACTATTGGTATGGATGTAGACTCCATTATTGATGCATTCGCTAAATTAAAACACCATCGTGAACAATTGACATTGTAAAAAAAATATAAAATCATTATCCTTTTTACGATATCTAATTTCTAATGAAATGCGGCCCAGTGCGCTATTGTGTTCTGAATCCGCCGTTGTACTCATCCCTCGATGAAACTTTATTGCCTTAGTGGCTACGTACATTTCCCTAACAAAAATATTATCTCAACTCTACCGTTGTACATAATTTTCATATGTGTTTAGACTAAGATTCGGACTAGTTTTAGATTATTCATATTTTTTATGGTGAAAATTTAGGATTGGACAAGAACGAACCCAATTAGAACGAACCTATAGGAAGAAGGGATGTGTTGTCGGTTCGCTATTTGTGCCGATGAATTGAAAAATATATATAAACGCAAATTGGAATCGAACCAACCAGAAATTTTGAGGCCCCACCGTCTCCGTATCGTGTACCCGCCATCCAACGGCTGGAAAGCCATCGCATCAAGACCGCCTACAAAACGGAGCGACAGCAGGCCGCCACGTGTCGGCAACCAAGTCCTGTGAGCCAGTAAACGCTCGACAAAGAAGCAACAGTCCCCCACCAGCCCGAAGTCCGGTCCACCATCGTCCTCTGCCGTCACTTCCCACTCAACAACAAACGAGCTCTCCCTGGATTCAATTCAGTGCACCCGAAAGGAATCCATAGAGAATTTCTGGTTCACCATTAAATAAGGGTTTCCCCTTTGAGTTTTGTATTGTTCATCATCTTCTTCTTCTTCTTCCTCCCTTCCTTCCTTGCTTCCTTGCTCACTCATTTTAATTCGTTTTTCTCGCGGCAGCTGAATCATGCGTTTGTGGTGGTGGGTGTTTCTGCTCTCCACCGTTGGTTGATTGGGGTGGATTAGGATCTGGGGTGGGGGGAGAAAGCTGAGGTTTTTGAGGTGTTTAGATGCTTATCTGTGTTTTCCTTTGTCCTGGGCTTACCTTTGTTGTTGAATAAACCCTAGTGATTAGCAATGATTCTTGGTGTAGTTGTTTCATTGCTAACGGGTAGTTGGATGGATGAAGATTGAAATCCTCTTCTCCTAGTATCATATGAAGATTGAGCTCTAGAGTAGTGGGTATTTTGGTTTTCCTTCCTTGTGTGGTTGGGAATTGGGAAAGGTGGAGGGAAATGAAGGAGCCGGACAGGTGTAGAGCCAAAGATGGAACCTTTGGGGTGGTTTTTTTATGCCAAAAATGGGAAAATTTTTCAGATCTGCCCATTGGGGTTTTGGGAATATAGGGGTTTCTTTCTCACTGGTTTAGAGATAGAGATAGAGAGAGAGGGGAAAGAGGAGAGGAGGTGAGCAAGGCTGACAGAAGAGAGTGAGCACACAAACAGGCAATTGTATGAGGCGAGTACCTTTGCGGGGTGCGTGCTCACTTCTCTTCTGTCATCTTCCTTTTCTCTCTTGGAAAGAAAAGACCCTTCCCCCTTCCCTCATCCCCCTCACCTCTATCTGCTATTCTGCTTGCATGCTTAACTGTAGCTGATGATATGGGTCATCTTAATGCTCTCTTTTCCATATTAATGTTAAAAGTCTTCGTGTCACTCTTTCACATGCTATTTGTATTGCAGCTATTGCAGATCTCTGTGTATATGGTGCTCTCTTTGCCATATTTATGTTAGATGTCTTCGTGTCACTCTTTCACATGCTATATGTATTGCAGCTATTGCAGAGCTCTGTAGATGTGATGTTCTGGCAGGCTTTCCCCTTTGCTCCCCATTTTCTTTCCTTTCTTGTGTAATTTCATGGCCTTCCTTTCTCTCCTCTGTCTCTCTCATACGCAATTCACAGGCAGCAGCCAGGTGGGTTATTAGTAGCGGTGGTGGTGGTAAGATCATCGGTTCTGTTGCTTTCTTTGTTACACTTATTTCTCTGAAGTTTGCAAATAAGTACCAGTTTACGAAACATATTGGAAGATTCTGTCAAAACTGTTGTTTTGGGGGGAAGGAATATTTGGATTATGAAGCTCATCACCATCATCAAGAAGAAGAAAAGGCAATTTCTTTCGAAGTAATTTTACTCCGTGTAACTATAGCATATGTACTTTCTCTTATTTTATATTGTTTAATACACAGAACGAGGAATGGACAAGCTTTGGCCTCAATTGAAAAGCGTGGAATTCGATGGTACCTCTTCGGCAAAGGAAGAATTGAAAGCCGGGATGGAGGGAGGGAGACCGGATGAGAATGGAATGGTACTTGCTAGCTACTGTTCATGCTTAACGGAAACCGTATTCTCTCTTTTCTTTCCCCCAAAGTTTGCACCTTTATCTGCATAGTTAATTACTCAAAGCTTATCTTATTAAACCCTTTTCTTTCCCTTTTCTCTCGTTAGATCTGTGATCCCTTCTTCCTTCTTCCTGCTTATTTTTTCATGTTTCTTCGATGCCATGCTAGAACTGAAGAAAGGTGATGCTTTTAGGGTTCCGTTTCTGTGATTTTGGGGTTTGGGTTTTTTTTTTTTTTGGGTCATATTGATTCTCAGCTTCAAATGGGGTTTCCATAAAATCACCCGATTTTGTCGAGATTCCATGCAAATCGATTGATTCTGTAGTTATATCCATCTGTCCGACTATCTTCCCCCACTCACTGTTCCTTCCTGAAGAAACATTTTGCTGTGGTGTTAAGGTTGAGAGAAGGAAGCTTCCCGGAAATTGGCCAGATTAGACTCTGTCGGTCTTCCCAGCAGCGGCAAAATCTTATTTGGCGCCGTATATGGGAAGGAATAATTGTTTCCCTTTCTGGGGAGACTATTTTGTAGTTATTGAAGGGCAAAGTTTCCATCTTTACAGGTTCGTCAAGTTGATTTCCTTATGTCGGACTGATTTCTCGCCTACTCTTTCTCGTGTTCTTCTATAAAGGAAGCAGCTTGACAGTTCGGTTTATTTTGCCCCGTTCTATTTGCTTGCTGTTATCTGCAGATGGAACAGATATTGTCTTTGCTTTTGGGGTTGGGGAAGGGACTGTCTGCTGCTGATACTACAATTTGAGGAGCTAATCATCAGGTAGCAATGCTATTTTTTTTTTTTGGGTTCTGCTTAGATGGATTTCAGTTATGTTGGTTTACTTCTGATTTTATGTTGATGGATATTGTCTTGGTTGTAGCTTGCTTAGTTTGAAATCTCTCTCATTGATAATGACATAGCTGCTCTATTTTCTTACTAGAGTGCTTCTTCTTTTAAGCTAATTCGTGGTATGTTAGTTGCCTTTATTTATTTAGCTTATAAACCATGTTGATAGATTTGTGATTGCAGCACCACATTGTATTCAGAGAGTGTTGATTGATTGTTTTGGAAGATTTTTTTTTTTTATGATGATTTTGACTAGAAAGTATGTGGCATTGGATATAGAAAGATAGCTGAGGATGAGTGGCTTTGAAATTCCTAATAGTACATGATGATGAGAAAAGTTTCTTGGTGTAAGTTTCAAGAGGATTTTTTTCTGCATGGTCCTTTGTTCTTAATTGTGATGTTGCCAGTACTTTTTCAGCCTGTGCTTTGGATAAGTATTGGGATAGTTTGTACTGTTGATTTGGTTGGGGATAACTATCAAATTCTAGATCAAACCATTGATAGCGACAGGAAGTTTTGATTTTTTATTATTATTGAAAAGTGAATTCCAGAAGATATGGATCATCAGTTTTGAGATTATAAGGCTGTGTTTCAAACAAGTGATTGGTGCACAAGAGAACAGGTTTAAATTCACATGCATGGATATAGTGACATTTAAGAAATCAGTCATTTGGTGTTTCTTTTTTTTTTTTGTGGCACTGATTGTAGAAGAGGCATAGATAATGGCCTTCTTTCTTCTGATTTTGATGTAGATTGAATTGAATATAGGCAACTGATGGATTTAAGTATTAAGATTTGCAAGTCATCAGGGACCAACGAGTTATTTAAGCCGTCTTTACTTACGCCTGAAGTCTTCTTGAACTGGGTTTTTTGTTTGAGTTGTACAACGTTATGTTAAACTGATTCGTAGACGTTCATGCTGTGGTATTAATTGTTGAAAATGATCTTGAACACTAGTTTCATTTATGTGGCAAGTTTTCATTTTTTGGAATTTATAGTTGGAGATGATCCTGAACAGTAGGTAGGTTTGATTTCCTTACTGCTTTCGGTATCTTAACATTCATGATTCGTATCGTTAAGGAGTTTGAGCTGTTTGTTTTCTTTCTGGAGTGTTCTCCGATTAGATATTTATTTAAAAGTGTTTTGTTGTTTTCCGCTAAACGGTAATGTTAATATCTAGTTAATAGTTGATGATGCTCTAGAGTACTAGGTCAGTTGATTGGTAAGTGTCATTGTTATGGAATTAGTAGGTGGAGATGATCCTGATGATTGGTTCTTGTATATGCCTTACTATCATGATTGGTATTGTGCCATGGAACATAGATCAATTGGTGAGCATCAGGATTGTGGAAATAATTATAGGAACGATGTTGAACAGTAGGTCTAATTTGCTCGCTGTTTTCTATATCTTAGCATTTATGAATCATGATTCATACTGTGTGATGGAATAAAAGTTTCTTGAGAATAGTCAGAATTGGCTAGATCATGATTTTTCTCTCGAAAATGGACCTGGATGCACTTAGTTTAATATGACTACTCTCAAGACTTGAAGAATTTTGGAATTATTTGACGTAATGTCCCAATATGCACACAAATAAATGATTTGGAGCGTAATTACTAATTACTCTATAAAGTCAATAGCGGACAGGCCTTGAGTTGAACTCTTAATAAAGTTACCAATTTTTGCGTGTGTTCTCCAATTGATAGTTTTATCCTTGACTGTACTTCACCAAAATATTTGATTGATCTTCAATGCATGGTTTGATCTTTAACAACTCTCCTTGCTAATTCAAAACTTAGGCGGATTTCTCATATTTGGAATTGACTTCATATGCTATTTTCCATTTCCTTTGTATTTGTTCAAATACAGTTGGTTTAATCCTTTACATTCTTTGACATTCGTGGCTGGATTTGTGGGGTTAATTAATGTCGAAAAGGTAGCAAGGGAAGCTAATGTGCTTAGAATACTTTACTAGGGGCTGGCCATTTCAGTCATACCGTTCTTCTTGATTAAGCTCAGTTGTTTATAATTTCTTGTCATCTACTAGCATAGGATTGACAAGAGAGCTTATAATTAAAAATGAAAACCATATACAAACCAATTGTAGCACCCAGTTATGGGTGATTATGCATCTAGATGGCAACCCAATTGATCAGCACCAAATAATTAAGTTATTGATGTTGGTTCGTGATTTGCAGTTTTGATTGGAGGTGTTACTAAGCGTATGCTTCTGTTGCTGTTGATGGCACATTCTTTTAACTTGGCCAGTGTTTCTTCTGTATTGTTTGATTCTACTGTGAGTCTGTGACCTGACATTACTGTCCAGTCATCATGGCATTTCCTGTATTGTTTGATGTGGATGGTTAAATTTCCTTCTTTCCTTCTTTGTAGGTTGCTTCAGTGACAATTTCCTTCTTTCCTTTTGTTGATGAATCTCTACTTTGCTCCTTTTTTGAAAGTTTGATAGGATTTTTTGGTTGGCTTCCTATCTCAATATAGGTCACAATTGTGTCCTTTCACTTGACCAAGCTGTCCTTAACTTACGACTGGTTAGTAATATATATTAAGGGCAATCCTTGTACCGAGCTATGCCTAGAGCCCTTTTACTCCCATCCATATGTTGCATTTGGATGAATTGCTGGAACGATAAGAATGGGTCTGCTTTCATATTTTGCATGTCTTGTCACCATCTCTAGTTGGTGTATAGTGGTCGTAGGAAGTTTTATTCGAAGTTGCTGGCCTTTTTAATTAGTTTTCCTGCATATGGTGTTTAAGTTTGTGCTACAAAGTCAATGCACATGCTATGGGATGGTAGAATAATCATGTGTGTGATCATATTCATAATCATGGATTTACCATGATTACAGTAGTTGAAGAAAACAGTGTTCATTCCCCCCCACTCAAATCGTATGCAGAAAACGAGTAATGTAAATGAATGTGTAGGGTTAAGATGCTTCGCTGTGGAGCAATGAAACTGATGAATAATTAACAAGGAACTGCAAAGCTAGTGAACATTTTTCCAGCATATACTGTTGTATCTCTCTTGGGTGAAGAATGTTTTATTTTCTGAAGAAAGAAGGAATCACAATTGGTACTGCCTTTGCTTTTAGAGCTTCCAAGGGTAATTAATTGTTCCAATTCTTTTCATTCATATAGTCTCTTACCATGAGCTTGGAAGTATTAAAGAGTTTGTCTTTTCATCCCATTCGATCGAGAACTTCATTTATGCACATCTTCATGTGCATCCAAAGTTGTCTCGCTTTACTGCTTTACATGGTGATTACTGCTTGAAATCTGTGCATTTATAATCTTTATTGTGGAGTGTGTGAAAGTAATAGAGTCTTCTGAACTTAATTTTATTCTTTCTGATTCTGCAGCAGCATGTTCTTTGTGTCTTCTGATGTATGTATCTCGGCTGTACGCATTAAGCTTCTAGTATGGGTCTTTTCCTTATCGGTTAAATATTGTGTATTGGTTCTTCATTTTTCTGATCTCAGCTTCCTGATATCTGATTATTATATATATAAAAAAGTAATGTTATCTCATCCTTTGACTTGTTGAACTGGTAGCTTTCCCTGTGATACTCTCAGAATGAATCCGTTTCTGCCAGCAGCATGTTTTTTTTTTTTTTTTTGGTTTCTTCTGCATGTATTTCAGCCCTAACTGATTCTCATTTAGCTTCTAGTATCAATTCTTTTTCTTTAAGGTTAAGAGTTGTGTGTATTGGTTCTTCATTTTTCTGTTCTGGAGATATACCAAGCTACCAATTGTTGAGTTTTCTGACTTTGCTGGAAAGCATTCTAGTAGCTAGGTTAAGTAGTTCTCTCTGTGGTACTCGCAGAATGCTCAGAATGTTGCATTCATAGTCTATTAGTTTCTTGTTTTTCTTACCGACTACTAGTCTGCCATAGTTGTGAATGAAATTAAAGGTGATTGAATGGATTTAATCATGTGCAGCTTTGGATTGGGGAGTCATGTTCGAGGAAGACCCAAAGAGCATAATCTCGCACATTGAGCTCTCGATCTTCGACGAAGTCTCTGATTCTAACAGCACCACCCGTCGCCACCATCTGAACCCACCAAACAGCAAGCGTGCTCGATTATCCACCACCACCAGTAATACCTCCACATCATCCAAGTTCAAAGGCGTGGTGCCACAGCAAAATGGCCACTGGGGATGCCAAATCTATGCCAACCATCAAAGAATCTGGCTCGGCACATTCAAAACTGAGAGCGAAGCAGCCACAGCCTATGATAGCGCTGCCCTCAAGCTCCGCAGCGGCAATGGTGGAGACAACATTACTGTGAGGCGTAACTTCCCTCTCAATACCTTCACCGCCCAAGAACCCGAGTTCCAGACCCACCACACCTTGGAAGCCATCCTCAGCATGATCAAGGATGGCACTTACCAGTCCAAGTTCGCTGAGTTCATCATCTCTCGGGTGGGCACTACCACTGAGCTGACCCTCAACCTCCCTCCTAGGCCGAGAATGATGTCATGCGGTGATGTCAGCTGCAGGCGGTTGTTCCAGAAGGAGCTGACACCGAGCGATGTAAGCAAGCTGAACAGGCTGGTGATTCCAAAGAAGTATGCAGTGAAGTATTTCCCCAGGGTGCCTGATGAGGTTGTAGCAAGTGGCAACAACAATGTGGGTGAGGAGGAGAGCAATCTGCTGCTGAGCTTCTACGACAGTTCATTGAGGACGCTGTGGAAGTTTCGGTATTGTTACTGGAAGAGCAGCCAGAGCTTTGTGTTCACGAGAGGGTGGAATCGGTTCGTGAAGGAGAATGGGCTCAAGGCCAACGATACCATAACTTTCTGCTTGTGCGAGAGGCATGGGGGTGGAGAGGTGGGAACTGTCGAGACGTTTTTCATGATCGACGCGAGCAACTGTAAGGAGAGCGGGAATCCTCAGCCGGGTTCAATGGTGAATCTGCAGTTAGGCAGCACTAGGAGATCGAGCAGTACTATTCTTTGCAGCGAAACTGACGAGATCAAGGAGCAGCTGAGGGCTGCTGATGATGAAAAGAAGGGGATTAAGCTCTTTGGAGTGACGATAGCTTGATCCTTAACAGCTTTAGGATTAGGGCTCAAAACATTTCATGTGATGGTATATGGAGTAGAATTTTGATACAGGTCAAGGGCTGAATTTTGTTGTGGCCCGAACTCGATTGTGCAAGATCAGTAAGTAAAAAGCTTCTATCTTGGCAAAGCTGCAGCCTTATGTGGTTTCTGCAGTTCATCCTTTGCTTTCATTTTAACTTTCACGGCTTAAGTTTGCTTCTTTGGTGGGTTCTACATCAATTTGAATTAGATCGATGAGTCGATCCACATATACGTCTTGCTTTTACTGATATACTGCTAGATGTAACTTTGGTTGCTGTATGGTGGTGGTGCTTAATGTACACATAAAATGTCCATTAGAAGTGCATTGACACAGACCTGCCTGAAAGGTATGTTCTTGCTAGAATGCATGATCGGCGAATTGAGCTTCGGGCTAGGAATCTTTCTGCGTTTGCGATATCATATCGTATCAGTACGTTCATTGAATGTGTACCGAGGATCAAGTTGATACTGGCTGTTATCATGGCGCGTGGTGGTTCTGTTGTAATTCTTCTTTCTACGAGAAGCTTGAATTGTTATGGATATTTGCTCTTTGGTATTCCTACTGTTGATCATTAGGGTGACACTTTGCTTGAGAAACTGGAGATAACTCCAGCTGCACTGCAACTTGGTTTTTGCAGCGACAGTTATAGTGAGTCTCGACCTGGCCCGTAATGATTATTGGATCAATCTGTCTTGAATTATTGTCATCTGGGCCCATTTTCTACTACCAAGATAAGTCACGCCCATGCCGTGGGCCCTGCAGACAAAAAGCGTCATCCGGGCCCATTGGTACCGTCTTTGAGTTCAGATGGGCTGGGCCATCAAGTGTGTGTGTCCGGTGAGGAGATGTTGATTGAGGCATTGAGCGATTTTGATTATATGCCGAACATTTATTTTACCATCCCAACTCAACGAAATTGGTCATAGCTTAGAAGAGAAATAAAAAAAAAAACTTTCTATCTTTTGTAAAATTGTATCAGAAGTTATAATGGACTAGTTAGTGATACAAATGTGATTCAATCTATATCATATCAGTATAATATTGTTGTTAAAATAAAAAAATAATATAATATATTCAAATAGTATTGTTCCGGCGGTGTTATAGTGCCAAGTCGGCCGATTTACGAATAATTGTCAATTTAACTACATAAAATCGTCCGATATGATACTTTCACAATATTTGTGTATCTTTTCGACCTTGATGACACAACAAACAATTTTTACTATCCAACCAATGATACAATACAATTTAATAATGCCCGCTTTTGGTTTGGTTAGTCTCGACTCTCATCATGCTTGCCAATCTACATTCTTCAGTTAGTAGCATGCCTCCATAATTGATTCAATCATTCATATAAAAAATGATCAAAATTTTGAAAAAGAACAGAAGGTTCTTAAGTGATAAACAAAAAAATATTAATCTAAACTGCAAAGCTATATTTAAATATATTATCATATTCTATCTACACAAGTATGCATTGCATACAAGTATATACCAAGATCATAACACATTGAACTTGTCTCACAATAATTGATGTGGTAGTTGGACTATTCTAATGTAAATAATTACACTTCTATAATAAAAATTGATTATCATTTTATAGTGTGAATCTCGTAAGAATTATAATGCAACGATACAATAGTAACATGATAATTCCACAATCGAGTAGGTGAGTTATATCGTTTAAACCTAACGTAAGAAATCATGATCCCAAAATTTTAAAAACTATAAATAAAAATGTTGAACCAGTTACGTTGTCACGATTATTTATAATTCAATCATCAGTATTGTAAAATTGATTATTTGTTGTATGAGCTGGTTAGATGCTCAGAATAAATATTTTTTAAAAAAATAGACCCAAAATAACTATTATAACAAAATAATATATCCATGGAACATGGTTTCAATAATTGCAATAATAATCATTTTTTTGGTAATGATTTAGCAGTCCCTCCCTCCCCCTTGCAAGACCTTCCCCAAACAGATGAGAAATATCAGAGAATCTCTAGAACCAAATATATATATTCAATTATATATGTCATGCCTTATTTTTCTTTAATTTTTTTTTCAGTGGAAGCCTAATTAAACTATTATCATTTATTTTATTGGAAAATTATTTGGTAGGGAAAAAACATAACTAGAGTACATAATCGGTACGAGGTGCAATTAATGGAACTTGTTCTCCAGCTTAGCTACTTGGATTTCTTTTCTTCCAAATCCACTAAATTATGATATTTTATATAAATTTTGAAAATGTGATTTGTTTATGCTAAAGCGCATAACAAAATTTATTCAAGATACTTATTAAAAATTAATTATACATTAAATGAATTTTTTAAAAGTCACAAAATACCCGTACTATTTTCCTATGAATACTTTTAGCTAAATGCTAGATAATTATTGTGGACATATATATGGCATCATTATTTTTTGTATAAATAATAGTGTGCCTGTTTTTCCTCTCCTTCCTATTTCTAGCCTATCATTAGAATAGAGGTTTACATAATTAGGATGGATTATTGAATTAGTTGATGCTCTTGTTTCCTTGAGATGCATGAACTTTTCTTATAAAACCTAAAGGGTGAAATATTTAATGGATTCCTAAAGTACATTTCTGCCATTTATTATACAAACATGAACAGCATCAATAACAGTCACCACCAATAATAACGTTCCTTGCAATGAATCATGAACTATACAACTAAGTACATTACCAATCAAGCATGATTCTACTCGATTATGCAATATAATGGTGACTAATACCAACTATAATAGATATTTTTATGCTAATCATACTAACCTTCTACGAGTGATCGCTTTCCATTTTCCTTGCCACCCTCAATTTGGTCTGGTTTTGAAGGTATGCTATTTGAGTTTGATTCTAAAAATTTGCTAACTATAGCAATATTAGTGGCCTAGTTTAGCAAGTTAATCTGCAACGATATTTTCCCATGTGGAAATACGGATTTCTAAATTCCAGAAATTTAATTTCGAAACATGTTACAGGATCATAGATATAAAATCGGTAATGGTTCGTATGAATAATAATCATTAATTTCATGATATATCTGAATTCTTATTTTTTATATGAATTTTTTATCTTAAGAAGGTCTATAATTAAAAATACGCAAAAAAAAAAAATGATATAGTGGGATGAACCAAGGGGATTGACTAGCTAGTTTGTGTGAAATCGTGATTTAGTCGAGGTTCAATCGTATTGTATTGTTAAACTACCTTCCATTTGGTCTCCGATTTTCGGATTTCCGACCCAAACGGCCTATCTAATACCATTTCTAAAACATTGCTATTTTGTCCACATGTTTTTTTTGTTAAACCAATTAATCTACCACCGGAGCAAGAAAGAAATTAAAATCTAAACCACCCGTTTTAGGTCGGTATCTAACTATCTATGGTTCTAATTTCGACTTCACTTGGTATGTAAACAACCTAGCTTTTGGCTTGGTCCAAGTTGTCGTCTTAAACTCCAATTCATGGCCCTTAAAAATCACAAGGATCCAAAATCCACCAAACTGAGCTCAATTTCATTAGGTGGAGTTTGCTTAATCTGTGATTTCCATATTAATCAAGGTCTTGCATGAACGAGATGGATATCTGATCTAACGAAATTTCTAACACTAAAGATACTTTTGTTTTCTTGAACGATTTGATTCTTATGTTTCCCTTTTTAAATCAAGAGCGTAATTCAGCTATGTGACGTTGGACATGTTAGAAAAAACGATCACCAGGTTCAATCTATTTCTTATTTGTCAAGTGTCCACATCCTATACTTTGCATATCGCTCTTAACGAGAGGTCATTTTGTCACGTCTAATTCAATTTATCATCCCGTCACCTTCCAGCCACCGACTAAGTCAAATATGAAGTATTGTGTAAACTGCCGACGAGTTTTCGAACCTCGAATAATTTCGAATGGCAAATATAGGTGGTTCCTTACTTCAATGAGAACAAGGCAACAACTAAACAGGTTATAATTCGGCTAGTTAGGGCCGACTCCATATTTCCCATTGCTGCTCTCTTTCTAATGAAAGAACATGCTCCTCTAATTCTCTAAACTTATAGTAAAGATGGGGAACAGGTTGCAAGTTGCAAAGCTATTATTGCTAGCGTGACGTCGATACACAGGGCCAAGCTGCAACTTGCAAGTTGCAGAGGGATACTGCCAAAACAGAGAAAGGTGGCAGACCACCAAATTCAACAAAGCTTTCTCGAACTAACTTATACCAAGGTGCATTGCTTTCGTTCTGTACACATTCACGTCAGCCTGTATCGTATACTAAAATCCTCTTTCAGGACCACACAGACGATCTTTCACTCTCTCCCTTTCTCTCTCAGAACCAGGTTTTCCGTCGATCACTCATGTGGTAGATTCGTCTGCAGGCTGGCCCTTCACCGGCGCCGGATTGTATATTCGCCTGCCTCTGTTTCCCCATGTGCTTTTTTCCTCTGCCCACTCTCAAGTCTCAACTACCAGTCAGTCTCCAAATCTCAACCAAGAAGAACAAGACATGCATCTTCCCACTTGCCTTCTTGAAGTAGATTCCTTTGCTCCAAGCAATCAAAAACACAGGTTAATAGGATTCAAGCTTCGAAATTACAGCATCTTGTTCTGGATGCTATGAAGTATGAATAGTACTCTGCATGCTGAACAGTAAAAAATGGATGTCGACATATTGATCTGGACTATCCGTCTTCATTACAATCCAAAACATCACTACAGCATCTTAATTTGCTATAGTCTAAGCCGCTTGTTACAAGTTGCTTCTCGTCAATAATTCAAGTTGCGAGGAGAAAATATGGATCCAACAGCGATGTTGAACACCAATTTCGTCTTGAAGATGAACAGCGACGAATCAGAATCAAACGATGATAACAGTGTCATTATGATAAGTAGAATTCCTTATGGTTTCCACTAACCAAGGGAAAGGAGCATGTAGAGGTGAAAAGTCACATTCTTTGCAATTGATGATGATAAAGAGATTTGAGGGAGAATTGGATTTTGGAGATGTCACCCTCTCTGTACTAAAAAGTTCATACAATATGTATATACCACAACGACAGCTTTCCTTCAACCAATTCATTCATGGCGATGGCGATGGCGATGGCGATGGGAACCCATCATTAACATCATCATCATCTAAACAAACGTACACAAAAGCAAACAGCTTTCACAAACGGATGAACAGAAAAGCTCAACAAATCGAACTCCAATGACCAACAATGGCGGAAAATATTGATTACCCAAAACAAATCCTAAATCCCAACAGCACAAACTACAGAAATTCATTTCAACAATTCTTAAGCAACGGTGGCGTGGTCGATGGCAGCGGCAGAAGTCCAGACGATGTCCTTGAGCGCCGGTCTGAGCTCTTTGGAGCAGAACTGGTTGTACTCCAGAGTATCTCCGTTATCCTTCTTCACTTCCACCACCAGAAACGACGGTGTCACGGCGAAAATCTCCGCCTGAATCCCGAGCTTCCCTTTCCTCCCGCTCTCCTGCCCTTGCAGCTTCACCTTCGTCTCGCTCTTCTTCACGCTGAACTTCCCGGCCTTCCCGACCTCCTCCAGCCTCGATATCACGCTGCTCGCCGGCCGGGTCGTCGCGAATCTCAGCTCTTCCTTCTCCATCCTCTTCTTCTGCTCGAACAGCGGCGAGAGGTCGAATCCTTCCGATAGCGAGATTATGTGGAACGCGTTCAGCATCTCCGGCAGCTGCTTCGACTTCTCTGCTGCGGATTTGGATTCATCTACGCAGTCGAATGCGTCGAATTCGATTTCTTCCTTGGTGCGTATGGTTTTGGGGATGGATTTTCTGAACCATGACGATTCCATGACTTTGGAGATGGTGATTCGGCTGGCCGGATTGGGGTCGAGGAGCTTGGTGATCAGGCGGCGGGATTCGGAGGAGAACCACGGCGGGCACTTAAAGTCTCCTCTGTAGATTTTTCTGTACATAGCTACCAGATTGTCGTCCTGGAAAGGGAGGAATCCGGCGAGGAGGACGTATAGAATCACGCCGCAGGACCATAAATCGGCTTTGGCACCGTCGTAGCCCTTCTTCCCGATGACCTCCGGCGCGACGTACGCCGGCGTGCCGCAGGTGGTGTGGAGGAGTCCGTCCTGCTTCAAGTGCTCGGAGAAGGCGCTGAGCCCGAAATCGGTGACCTTCAAATTACCTTCCTCGTCGAGCAGGAGATTCTCCGGCTTCAGATCTCGGTGGTAGACGCCGCGGCTGTGGCAGAAATCGATGGCGGAAATCAGCTGCTGGAAGTAGACTCTCGCGGCGTCTTCTCTCAGCCGCCCCCTGGCGATCTTGGAGAAGAGCTCGCCGCCGCGGACGAGCTCCATAGCGATGTAGATCTTGGACTTGCTCGCCATCACCTCGTGGAGCTCGACGATATTTGGGTGTTTCACCATCTTCATGACCGAGATCTCGCGCTTGATCTGGTCCATCATCCCAACTCGGATCACCTTCTCTTTTCCGACGACCTTCATCGCCACGCTCTTGCCGGACTGGAGGTTCCGCGCGTGGTACACCTTCGCGAAGGTGCCGTGGCCGAGCATCCGGCCGAGCTCGTATTTCCCGTGGAGCAAAGTCGGCTGGCCGTCTCTGCTTCTCTCCGCCATTGTTTTACAGACCTCGATTCTGCTGCGGAACTGACTAACTACTCTCAAAGACTATGCACAAGAGAAAAAAAATTGAAGAAAGGAGGGGAAGGATTGAAGCGGAATCGCGCCTGAGAGAAGAATGGCGGAGGGCGAAGGCCGGGGATCACCCGTCCTCGACGTGTTTCCGGTGGCAATTCCGGCCGCCGATGCACCTCTGGGCGCGGATGCACAGCTCAGGATTTCGCAACGAGGCTCCTATCATCTCTCTGCATTCCCCAAGAGAGGAATTGAAGAAATTAGGGTTTTTACGAAGAGGGATTTTTTTTCTTTTCTCCGGCGGTGGCGAGGACAGAGAGATCTATCGGATTTCCGTTTTCTCTCTTTCTTTTTTTTTCTTCTGGTTCGTCGCGGCGGCCGGCGTTTTTATAGGGCCGTGAGGGGAGTGGTGTGTGGTGGAGAATTTACCGTCGTGACCTTGTAGACTGAGGCGGTACGAATCGTGGGGCTGTGATCCGACGGCCTGGGACACATGGAGTGATCTGGACGGTTGGATTGTGGTTTTTGTTTTATTGACGGAATTGACACCGGGACACTTGTGACGTTCTTACTGGCGTTGGAGTGTGTGAAGGACTTGGAAGTATTGAACGGAAACAGCCCCCTGATTGTTGCTGGCTGTTTACCATGCTACCCCTGACAACTTCAATTAATTGCGCACAAATACCACGTTGTCTTTTGAGTTTTTTTAACCTATCTCGATAATCGAACTCGTATGACTAATAAATATCTTTCGCATCTTAATTGTCGAGTCGTGAAATAATTGTGATACATTCTAATCACATTTTTGTAAAACCAGACCGAAGCAATCTTTTTTAGCTTGGGGTTCGATTGATATTATTCGTCATGATCCTTGATTTCGTAGTGTCTAATAATGGTTACTATGTGCATAATCAAATTGTCTCTTGTGTGTCATGCATGTCATTTGACTGAACCAGTACGCAATTGAACGGTCGGACACTACATTTTCGAGAACACATCATTTTTTAGACGTGTCTCAATTCTCTTAGAATTTACATAATGAGTGAACAAGTTTTAAACTAAGCTAGAGATCGAGGGTTTAGCGTTATTCTATATGGCCCTTTTACCGTTCTTTTCTCGGTCATTCTGTACCATATATGCATCCTTCCTCTCAATAATTCTTGTCTGGTGGATCCCGCCGGCCGCTAAGTGGCCGGCAAATAGTGTGGGTGGAATTTTCCTTAACCTACAAGTGGTGAAACGGTGACTAATCGACTGTGTGTATATAGACCAGTAGTGATAAGCTTATATATATATGTGATCCTGTTATGATATGTATTAGGGTGGAATAAGTGACCTTTTTTCCCGAATGGATACAAAGATTAGAGAAAGCAACATGGTACTAGTAGAGCAGTACTATGACTAGGGGTATGCATCCGTATCAACCTCATGGGTAGCAAAGTCCAATAATTAAATATATTTTAGTATCAAGAACGGGATCTGTTCAACCGGGGTGCTCAATTAGTATGATACTGTCCGCTTTGGGTCAAGTCACGGTTTTACTCTTGGGTGTCCTCCCCAAAAGGCCTCGTACTAAATGGGCTTGGTGGACACTAATATGCAAGGGTCCCAGCTTCCCTTGTATTACCGATGTGGTACTTGGATTGTCCCATAACAATCCTCCCCCTCAAGACAAGGACCACGAACTTCGTGTCCTCACCCCCAGCGATTGTCTTGATCTGCCAGACGCCTTGTATCGATGGGCTTCTTGGTACAAGGACTTTACAAGAAGTAGAACTCTTTTTGATCTGCTTCCTAAATGTGGAACTCTCTTTGATCCGCCAAGCCCAAATGTGGATCTCTCCTGGATCCACCAAACAGACGCGGACCTCACTTGATCCGCCAAACCAGATGTAGCCTAAATGTGGATCCACCAAACCAAACGCAAATCTTAAATCCCGAGGTCACCAAATGATGGTCCACCGAACTAACGTCCACCGCCCCGCACCAAACCAGGCTCTGATACCACTTGTCAAGGGTGCTCAATTAGTACGATATTGTCCGCTTTGGGCCAGCCCGCACGATTTTACTTTTGGTGTCCTCCCCAAAATGCCTCGTACGAATTGGGCTTGGTGGACACTAATATACAAGGGTCTCTTCCCTTGTATTACCAATGTGGTACTTGGATTGTCCCATAACATGATCAACTATGCATTTGAGAATTTAATGGCCATTTCTATTTTCCTAATAATAATTTAATTAACATCTTTATTTGGATAAGAATAGAAGGTACCAAATCTAAGATAAGATTACCCTTTGGGAAAAAAATTGTAGAGATAAGCTTTGCCAAATGCCAACTAATCACTAATGTATGGCATGTGGGTTAATTAGAGGGTGACTTTTTATGGTATTAAGCCAGCAAGCAAAGAGTGAAGAGATTAACTTTCTCTACTAATCTTTCTTTTCCCAGATAAGAATGATTTTTTAGCTGTAATTATTTGACAAAGACCAATAATTAACTTCATTGAGGGTACTTCGCTTTGCTTCTTGGAGTCACCTTTGGTCAATTATATGTCCAATATAAAAGGGTGATTTATCAAATTAGGTCGGCTGTGATTTTCAATTTGATCACACAGGATGTAATGATGATTAAACCTACTCAAAACGTTTATCTTATTCTTTGTTATGTTGATTATCCTCTTTTCCCAATTATGTCCGATAGAATACACGAAATATAAGAAAACGACGCAGTTTACAAATCACACCGTAAAACTTCATACAATGTTAGAGCACAACACAATGATATGCAAGCATGGTGATGGATTCTCGAAAACTTTGAATTTTGAACAAAAATTGTTGAAAATACATATTATTATGCATTCTTGTATAAGATAAGGTCCGCAATGACACGATTTGTATCAAAATAAGGAATTTATGAAAATGAGTGAGCGTAATAGAGAGAGTTTGAGAAAGACAAGCAAAAGCTAAGGCAAGTGGGCAATAATAAAAAGCCTAATTGGGTCATTAAAATTGAAATATTACTTATTTGTGTAACAATTGGTAGTACTTTGTCTCAAAGTGACAACGCTATAATAAGCAGGTGAAAAAGCCAAAATCGTTTTGGGTTAATCACATATAATTAATCATTCCACTTGCCTTTATAACATCAAATACATCCTAAAGCATATAATTTCATCGTCAAATTCATTCCTATCCAAGGTTGTTATAATGTTGTAGTAGAGTTCATTCACATTCGTACTTACTATTACGTCTTGATACATAGTCGCATGTCATAATCGGCATGAATTATAGGATGATAACGAAGGGTCCTGGAACCCTTATTTGCCCGATTTAAAGATTACTAGTTCCCCTCTCAAAATAAAATCAACACAATTTTTTTTATTTTGAAATTTACCATAAATATTATAGGACTCGTTCTTAAATCTTAACAATCAAATATCGATGCATTTTTGATGGTCGTGAAGATACAAACACGAAGCATGTCAATTATACAATCCAACACCCGACATTATTGTGAATTATTGAAATGAATTGCTGCATTTTTCTGACGCCAATACTTCTTTAACAATATTCTTTTGCCGGTGGGTGATGATAATAATGCATGCATTTGTAACAGAAAAACCCTGACCTCGATCGTTTTGTGGTGGCGGTGATATCTGGTTGACGAGAAACAATGGGCTCGACCTCTGCCAAAGGGCGAGGTAAAATGCGGCGGCAGAGGGCGGCGCGTCGCTGGGAAGGTGGCAGGAAAGCCTGCAGCAACAATTTAAAAGCCGCCGCTGTTCGGTGGGCGGCGGCGGCGACAGTCGTCACTGGAAAATGCGGGAATTAATCAGAAGTTCAGAACTATTATTAATCATTCCGTCAGAAATAAAATAAATTACATTATTAATAACCATAAAAACAATAAAATAATATTCATTACATAAAATGATATTATGAAGAACATTCTTAAGTATGAAGATCGTTGCAAATAAACTATCATTGTAACGATTAAAAAAAAAAAATTTGATGTGGTTGACCCAAAAATGGGTGCAATCACAACCAGCATGATGGTCGGGATCATGCATAACCATTATTGTCAAAAAAAAAAAAAATGCATAACCATTGATTCTCAATCCTTTATTTTTATTTTCCAGTTCTCGAACATGCATGTTCATGGTTGGTACATGATGGTCTTTGCGTATTTACGTGGCAAATTATATCACAAGTATATATTAAAATAATTAATCATATACATTCGTGATTAGTTAATTTACAATTTATTGGGTCGTCTTGTATTACCCGATTAGGATATCTGACCGGTCGGGACCATGCATAACCAGGCATCAAAATTTAAGTAGTCCCGAGTCTAACTTCTGCACAGTGAATGAATATTATCGGTACGCTAACCTTATCATAGTTTCATTGAATTGTTTTTATTTAGATTATAAATTAACGGGAATTTGGAACATAATATTATATTTTAATATCTAATGAGTGAAGTCTTTGAAATTTAATTTCTTCTTTTTATAGTACATATTAATTAGGAATTTTTTTTTGCATGCGCACACAAATGTTGATAAAGCAAATACCTATAAAAAATGTTGATAAAACAAATGGAAATGAAGTTGTATTAATTCTATAAAGCCACTTATCATTCATTATCTCTACAATTAACCTTTATTTCTTTGATTTGCCTGTTGCGGCAATTGGGTGCTTAATTACAATTTTTTTTCAGATTTCAAAAAGTTACCCTCGCAGTTTTGGACGATTTTTTTAAAGATAATTTTTCTTAAATTTTAAATGTTATAGATCACAGATTCTGGTTGTGACTATTCTCCGCCAATGATAAAGTCTATTAATCACCAATTACGGTGGATTTTTTCGAAGGATATTTTCGTAATTTTTTTATTTTTCCAAATGCCCTTTTTTTTTAGAACTTTGAAGGTTACAGATCCCCTATTCGCCCTGATGTTATTCTTCACCAATGATTAAGTTTATTGAGCATCAATTTGTGCGTATTTTTTCGGGGCTATTTTTTACTGATTCTTAAACAAATTTTGGACTATTTTTTTGAAAGACCATTTTTCTTGGATTTTGAAGGCTACAAATCACAGATTGGCCTGAGTATATTCTTAACAGATGATTAAAGACATTAATCACCGATTTGGATGGATATCTTTCACGTCAAGTTTTTGCATATTCTAAAGAGGTACCATCACAGATTTTAGACGATTTTTCTGAAATAGTGAAATGTCATTTTCTTTCTATTTTGGAGGCTGTAGATCATGGATTCAGCTCGAGGCTATTCTCCTCCGATAATGAAGTTTGTTGATCATATTCTACACCGATGATTAAGTTCATTAAGCACCAATTTGGGAAAATCCAATTTCAGATGACATGTTCATAATTTATGGGCAATTTTTTTGAAATGTCTTTTTCTTTGGATTTTGAAGACTACAGATCACAGATTCGGCGCCTGAGGCTATTCTTCAATGATGATTAAGTCCATTAAGCAACAATTTGGGTAAATTTCTCCCGGGTCCATTTTTGGCAGATTCCAAAGGGGTACCCATCACAGATTTTAGTCGATTTTTTCGAAATGTCATTTTCTTACAATTTTATAGGATATAGATCACCGATTCAGCCCGTGGCTATTCTCCATTAATAATGAACATATTCTCCACGGATGATTAAGTTCATTAAACACAAATTTGGGCGAATTTATTTTCTGATGTTTTTTTATTTCTTGGGAGATATTTTTTTGAAAGGCCGTTTTTCTTGGATTTTGAAGGCTACAGATCACAGATTCGGCCTGAGTCTATTCTTAATAGATGATTAAGTCTATTAATCACCGATTTGGACAGATTTCTTCCCGATCAATTTTTGGCAGATTACAAAGGGGTACCATCAAAGATTTAGAGTGATTTTTTCTGAAATGCCATTTTCTTTCTATTTTGGAGGCTGTAGATCACAGATTCAACTCGAGACTATTCTCAATCGATAATGAAGTCTATTGATCATATTCTCCACGATGATTAAGTTCATTAAGCACCGATTTGGGCAAATTTAATTTCTGATGAGATGTTTATAATTCTTTGGACGATTTTTTTCGAAAGACCTTTTCCTGGATTTTGAATACTACAGATCACGGATTCGTCCCGAGGCTATTATTCAACGATGATTAAGTTCATTAAGCACTAATTTGGGTGAATTTCTTCCGGGTACATTTTTGGCAGATTCCAATGTGGCA